GAAGACCAGCTCCTACATCGGCTCCAGCATCGTGACAGCCGTGAGCTTCACCAAGGGGCTGTGGATGGAGTGCGCCACATACAGCACAGGCATCACCCAGTGCGACATCTACAGCTCCCTACTCAACCTACCTGCCAACGTCCAGGCGGCCCAAGCCCTGATGGTGAGCTCCTGTGCCATCTCCTCCCTTGCCTGCCTCCTCACCGTCATGGGCATGAGGTGCACCGTCTTCAGCCAGGGCTCGCCAAGCAAGGACCGGGTGGCGGTAGCAGGCGGCGCGGTCTTCATCCTCGGGGGGCTGCTCTGCTTCATCCCATTGGTGTGGAACATCCATGTGGTGCTGCAGGATTTCCGCAACCCCGTCCTCCCTGACAGCATGAAGTTTGAGCTCGGGGAGGCGCTTTACCTGGGCATCATCTCCTCCCTCCTCTCCCTTGTTGGCGGCTTCATCCTCTGCACCTCCTGCCCTGCCCGGGACCCAACGGCCACCTACACAAGCACCTACCAGCCCCGGCTGCTGGTGGGCAAGAGCCCCCGGCCCTCTGTCAGCCAGATGCAGAAGACCAAGAGCGAGCTCAACTCCTACAACCTGACAGGATATGTGTAGCAGCTGCGGGTGGGAACTGGGCTGGCACCTCTCCCAGCTCCCCAAAGCATCCGGGCTGGCACCAAAGGAGTGTGGTAAGAGGAGAAGACATGGCGGCATCTCCCACGGCGGCATCTCGCTCACAGGCTTTGGGGGGGTTTAACCCCCCCCCCCCCCCAGGGGCCCCGGAGGCTTGCAACTGCTCAGAGATCCCAGCTGGTGGCTTACATCAGTGAAGGACCCCAAATCCGGCTTCTGTTCCCTCCGTGCTGCCAGCCCGCAGGCAGCCCCTGGCACAGCAGGACCCCAGCAAGCCTGCCTGGATGGGGGTGGGTGGGCTTGTGCCCCCAGGGACCAGCCCGCTGGCTGCAGAGGCATCACAGGGGGATCAGGGCATCTGCGTGGGTCCAGAGCCACTGCTGGGGAATTGAGTGCTGGTTGCAAACCAATGTTGCAATAAATCTGTGTTTCTAGCTAGGCTGTGGCTGAGCTTTCCTCCGGCACCAAGGGGCCCTGGCAGCTCCCCCGGCAGGGTGGGCTGTGGTGGGGGCTGCGCTCGCCCGCCTGGCGGGTCCATAGTGCAGAGGGCACCCACGGCCCTTGCTCTGGCCTGCCCCTCCACACCCCATGGCTTTGCCACTCAGGAGCCCAGGCAAGTGGGAGTGCTGTCAGGGGGTGGGGAGGGGGGTCACTCCCGTGCACGGTTTGTCCCTGGGCACCGCGCTGGGAGGTTGCCATGTGCCACCACTGCAAGGGTTCCAGCGGAGGCAAGCGCGGCTCCCCGGGGGCTAACGGCAGGGGACGTGCGCCCCCCCCCCCCCC